GCGCTGCGTTGCACCCAACAAACAGCTTAACACCATACAAGACTGTTCCGGGAATTTGGCCAAAAAAAAAAAAAAAGTTGACGGAACGTGCCTTATAACGCCTGGAGAGACACTGTGAGCCTGCGGCCATGCGCAGCCATTGCCCAAAGAAGGCCGTTTCACACCCAACACCATGAGTGGTGTCAGGTGCGGTCACACTACTACTGCTACTACTACTACTACTACTACTACGACTACTACTACTACTGCTGCTACTACGACTGTAATTACTACTTCGACTACTTCGACTACTGCGACGACTACGAGTACTAATACGACGACGACGACGACGACGACGACAACTACTACTACTACTACTACTACTACCACTACGACTACGACTACGACTACTACTACTACCACTACTACAAATACGACTACGGCTGCGACGGCTACTGCTACGACCACTCCTTCTACTACGACTGTTACAACCACTGGTACAACTACGTCGACGACCGCATCCCCGACTACTACCACTACTGCTACGACTACTACTACTATTACTACTACTACGACTACTACTGTTACAACTGTGTCACCTAAGACTACGACTACAAGAACTACGACTCTTACTACACCTACTACAATTACTACTACTACAACTGTTTCACCTAAGACTACAACTGTTTCGCCTAAGACAACTGTTTCACCTAAGACCTACTATGACTACTACGACTACGATGACTACAACTACTATTACTACGACTACGACTACGAATACGACTACTACTACTACTACTACCACTAATACTACTACTACTACTACTACTACTACTACTACTACTACTACTAATACTACTACTACTACTAATAATACTACTCCTGCTGCGACTACTACAACTGTTTCATCTAAGACTACGACTTGTACGATTACGCAAACTACAACGACAAAGACTACTACTGCTATTAGTTATACCGGTATTGATATTACCACCACGACTATTACTACTACCAGAACCCCAACTACTGCAACTACTACTACTATTACTACTACTACTACTATTACTACTACTACTACCTCTACTACTACTACTACTACTACTACTACTACTACTACTACTACTACGACTACGACTACGACTACTACTGCTACGACTACTGCTACAACTACTACTACTACCGCCGCTACTACGATTACGACGGCTACTACGACTACTAGTACTACGCTGGCTGCGACTACTACCAGTACTACTACTTCCATGAGTACCAGTACCACCACTACTACTACGATGAGTGCCACTACTACTACTACTACTACTACTACTACTACTACTACTTCTACTATTACTACTACTACTACTACTACTACTACGACGACTACTGCTACTACTACGACTACTACTACTACTACTACTACTACTATTAATACTACTACTACTACTACTACTACTGCTGCTGCTGCTGCTACTACTACTACTACTACTACTACTACTACTACTACTGTTACTACTACTACTACTGCTAATGCTGGTACCACCAGCAGTACTACTACTACTACTACTACTACTACTACTACTACTACTACTGATACGACTACTACTACTACTACTACTACTACTACTAGCTCTACGACTACTACTACGACTACAACTAGTACTACGAGTACTTCAACTACTTGTGCCACCAGCTCTTCTACTACTACACCTACAACTACTACTAGCGTGCACTCCCACTACTACTACGACTACTACTACTACTACTACTACAACTACTGCTACTACTACTACTACTACTACTACTACTACGACTAGCACGACTACGAGTGCCACTACTAACACTACGAATGCTTGAATTACTCCTACTGCTACTACTACAACTTCTACTACCACGGCTACAACTACTAATATGACTACTAATAAGCATACAAGAACAACTGGTATCAGTTCAAGTGGGACTATCAGCACGAATGCCACTACCACTGGTGCTACTACTACACCTACTACTACGAATATGACTACATCGCCTGCGAGGTCGTCCGACGAAAAGTGATACGACTACCACGCCCACGATTGGTACGACGACGACTTCGACTACTACAACTCCGGCTACGACTACTACTACTACTACTACTACTACTACTACGGCTACTGATACTACGATTACCACGACTACTACCACTATTACTATTACTACTACGACTACGACTACGACTACGACTACGACTACTACTACTACTACTACTACTGCTACTACTATAACTACTACGACTACTCCTACTACAGATACAAAGAAAGACGATTGCGCCTACCATTACTACGAATACGTCCGCTGCGACTGCGACTACAAATCTACCACCACTACTACTAGTACGACTACGACGAACACGACTAAGACTGTTACTACTACCACGCACTACTACTACAACTACTACGGTGACGACGGCGGCGACGACAACGACTATTACTACTGCTGCGAGTAATGGTTCGACGACTACTACTACTACTACTACTACTACTCCGAA